AGGGTGTGGGCTCCAAGCCATCTCCGAGACATCTCTAGTCCGTGTTGATAATGGGGGAAATGTACCCCAAAATAGTCCTTCATTAGCCAGCAGCAGTCCCCTGTCGACTCATGTGACATTCCTCCAGGGTTACATAGAACCAGGGTGTGGGCTCCGAGCCATCTCCGAGACATCTCTAGTCCGTGTTGATAATGGGGGAAATGTACCCCAAAATAGTGCATCATGACTCAGCAATCATCACACTCAACTTTGGTGAGAACCGGGCAAAGGGGTCAAAATCCGTCAATGTGGGGGGTGAAACGGCTGTACGCGAGCCCTGGGGGGGGCACCCGGGACCGGGCAGTGCCCCCGGCAGAAGGAACCGGGTCAAACGGGCCAAAACAGGAAAAAAAATAAAAATAAAAAGAACCAGGCAAAAGGGGGGAAAATGGGAAAAAAGTGTCCGAAAATAGTGCCTCATGACCCCGCAGGAGTCCCCCGCGGACTCCCCTGACATTCCTCCATGGTCGAAATCATCCAACTCAACTTTGGTGAGAACCGGGAAAAGGGGTCAAAATGTAAAAATTGTACCCCAAAATAGTGCCTCATGACCCCGCAGGAGTCCCCCGCGGACTCCCCTGACATTCCTCCATGGTCGAAATCATCCAACTCAACTTTGGTGATAACCGGGCAAAGGGGTCAAAATGTAAAAATTATACCCCAAAATAGTGCCTCAAAATCGGGTAGAGTCACCTGGAAAGTGCCCTCGCATTCCTCCATGGCTCAAAATGTCGAACTTAAACTATTTGGAGAACCAGAGAAATGTAAAAAATACGCCCCAAAATAGTGTCTCAAAATCGGGTAGAGTCACCTGCAAAGTGCCCTCGCATTCCTCCATGGCTCAAAATGTCGAACTTAAACTATTTGGAGAACCAGAGAAATGTAAAAAATACGTCCCAAAATAGTGTCTCATAATCGGGTAGAGTCACCTGCAAAGTGCCCTCGCATTCCTCCATGTCAAACTTTAAGTATTGAGAGAACCAGGCTGGGGGGTCCTTGCGCCACAAAATTAGGCCCACTCAAAGTGCTTGGTGAGCGGATACATTCTTCCATGATTTGCAACAGCCGTTATTTTTCTGAGTGCACCCAAAAACTGGGTTTCCGATTTCGTGCAGACGGTAGTTTGAAAAGTATGGATGAATCTTTTTAACAGAGAAGTGGAAATGAAGCCCAGGGACTTTTTCCCCTTCTCCGTTGTACCAACCATCGGAGAAGGGGAAAAATCGGCCTGAAGCGCCAATAGTCTGGCCCCTTCTCCCGTTGGCACTCTGTCATTTTTTTGACAATTTTTCAAAACTTCATTTTTGATTATTTTAAGTTATAATTAAGCGTTTTCTTCAATTTTTTTTGCTTTCCACGGGTGGGGGCGCCTGGCAGGCCGCCTATGAGCACCCAAATTCGGCCTGGATCATCCAGGATTTGTGGGCTAAGCTCCATAAACTGACTAAATCACCCAGAGAGGTCACCTTTCTAGCCCAAATATATATAATACAAATACATTTAAATAGTAAAAGGTGCACTTGTGCTCTGCATTACCCGGAATTTTATTTTCATAGCCCCATGATAGTGATTAAAAATCATTTTCATGGGAAAAAGTGTTAAAACGCCTGATTAAATTATATGCAGGACCCCAGTGAGCTCCAGACTATGTGCATTGTGTTGGGGAACCATATAAATGATAGAATAAATGCATTTAAATGCAAAAATAATGATTTTAAATCATTTTAGGGGGACAATTGTGGAGAGGAGCCTGAAAATGACTCTGCAGCAGGCTGCCTATGAGCACCCAAATTCGGCCTTCTTCACGGAACCACGACCCCTTCTGTGGAGGGTATTCTCGTGCCCCTGGTGAGCACACAATGACCCAGGAAAGAGTCTTCAAAACACAGGTAAAACTGTGTTAAACAGTGGGGTAACATGTTTGAAATGACAGCACACTGCTGCTTGTTGGCAGCCTGACTCACTTGACTTGTCTCACACACACCCAGGGGGGGAGAAAGAGGACACATTGACCCAGGAAAGAGTCTTCAAAACACAGGTAAAACTGTGTTAAACAGTGGGGTAACATGTTTGAAATGACAGCACACTGCTGCTTGTTGGCAGCCTGACTCACTTGACTTGTCTCACACACACCCAGGGGGGGAGAAAGAGGACACATTGGAGCACAGAATGACCCAGGAAAGAGTCTTCAAAACACAGGTAAAACTGTGTTAAACAGTGGGGTAACATGTTTGAAATGACAGCACACTGCTGCTTGTTGGCAGCCTGACTCACTTGACTTGTCTCACACACACCCAGGGGGGGAGAAAGAGGACACATTGACCCAGGAAAGAGTCTTCAAAACACAGGTAAAACTGTGTTAAACAGTGGGGTAACATGTTTGAAATGACAGCACACTGCTGCTTGTTGGCAGCCTGACTCACTTGACTTGTCTCACACACACCCAGGGGGGGAGAAAGAGGACACATTGACCCAGGAAAGAGTCTTCAAAACACAGGTAAAACTGTGTTAAACAGTGGGGTAACATGTTTGAAATGACAGCACACTGCTGCTTGTTGGCAGCCTGACTCACTTGACTTGTCTCACACACACCCAGGGGGGGAGAAAGAGGACACATTGACCCAGGAAAGAGTCTTCAAAACACAGGTAAAACTGTGTTAAACAGTGGGGTAACATGTTTGAAATGACAGCACACTGCTGCTTGTTGGCAGCCTGACTCACTTCACTTGTCTCACACACACCCAGGGGGGGAGAAAGAGGACACATTGACCCAGGAAAGAGTCTTCAAAACACAGGTAAAACTGTGTTAAACAGTGGGGTAACATGTTTGAAATGACAGCACACTGCTGCTTGTTGGCAGCCTGACTCACTTGACTTGTCTCACACACACCCAGGGGGGGAGAAAGAGGACACATTGACCCAGGAAAGAGTCTTCAAAACACAGGTAAAACTGTGTTAAACAGTGGGGTAACATGTTTGAAATGACAGCACACTGCTGCTTGTTGGCAGCCTGACTCACTTGACTTGTCTCACACACACCCAGGGGGGGGAGAAAGAGGACACATTGACCCAGGAAAGAGTCTTCAAAACACAGGTAAAACTGTGTTAAACAGTGGGGTAACATGTTTGAAATGACAGCACACTGCTGCTTGTTGGCAGGTAAACATTGTTTAATTGTTTAAGTGTTTTTAAATGTATGGAACAGTGTTTTGTCTCTTTCAAAACTCTCCCGTCATTGGCCGGATACATGGGGACGATTTTATATTCACTATGACCGTTACTATTCCAGTGAGACGAAGTACGTCCGGTGACGGGAGTGATCCCATGTTAATTTTGTCCAAAAACCAGAGCATTCCCTTATCACCAATTAAACAAGAGACCATCTCACTTATTTGGGACAATGAAAACAAGACGATTCCATCTGTTCTTGAGACTAAAAACGAGAAGATTCCATCAATTAACTCTTTAACAAGAAGAGTCCATCTTTAACTTGCTAATAAAAACGAGAAGATACCATCTATTTCTCTTTCAAGAAGATACCATCTGTCTTGAGAATATACAAACGAGAAGAGTCCATCTATTTCACTCGTCAAACACAATATAATATATAAATACCGGCTCAAAAGCACATTAATATATATCCGGCTTGGAAAACACACACATTATAATCATGCAGTTGGTTTAAAAACATGCAGTTGGTTAATGAATCAAAGAAAGGAAAATAGACTCACCCTTGGTTTGTCTCAGAACAGCGCCACGTGATATGTATTTGCTATAAATGTGGATATTTTAACATTAAACTAGGCAGTCCTTCTCAGGAGTCCAACTTACCAGACAGACACACACTCCTAATTATTTACTATGTAATCTATTGAAGATTTTGAATAAACAGGTACTTCTTTACCTTTCTGTATGGGCCCGAGTGTATGTCTGCCGGCATTGATCAAGCTCCTTTCAAAAACTGCAGCTTCTCTCCTGGTGTCGCGATCACGTCGGGAGGTTACCAATTATTGATGTGGGCTGATTCTCTCGCGTCGAGGAAGAAGTTTAAAGATTAAGAGACAAATGAGTCTCTGAAAGGGTTCAAATTGGTTACTTTAATTTAAGCAGCGTGGTAGTGAAACAAACAAAGGGTAAGGAAGAGACAAAGCCGGTGATGTCTCCAGGGGGCTGCAGCGTAGAAAAAGAGGCCGGGCTGTACTTTCCGATCTTCTTTATCCTCTTCTCGTTCCCTCCCGCTGTGCAGATAGTGGGACCGCCCTTCTCATATTTCAATGTTCGATATCGCGTGAGAACAGATGATTTCGACATTCTGTATTCCCTGCCTACTTCCTTAAGCCTTTTCTCCTCCTTATCTCTGTCATGACTTTCTATTTAATACCTTATAAACAGCTGTAATAGTTAGTTTAGAAGTCCTAGAAACATCTCTACGGCACAGTTCTCATTTATGGTAACTCCCTCTGACGTCATAGCTTACTCACGTATGTGTAAACACTCTATGATCAACTGTACTTTCATTTAATATTCAGCAGTAATAATATCTCAACGTCTATCGATGTAGTGTTAAAGTCTGTACGTTTTGGTGTGTAACACTCCATGTCATTTTCACTTTACATTCAGAAAACGTATTATTATTAGCCACATGCTAACTGCTAACCGGATATGAAGGATTTTCAGAATAAAAGCTTGGCATTGAGATTTCCTGAGAACTTCCGGGTTTTTCCACAATAAAACAGCTTTTAAACTGACGATATGTTTTAGACTGAATTATGCTATTAAACATTGATTTTAATTTCTAACAAAACACAAATATGTAAAACGTTTCAAACTCAAATGAATTTTAACAACAGAAACCCAGAATCAAGACTCAAAAACTAAATCAGGTGAACAGTCATAGATCAAAATCTGCTCTTTAAATAAACTAATGATGTTTAAAACATGTGTTGTTTCTACAGACAGAGAGCAGAGTCTCCAGTCCCCAGCTGTCTGTCTCTGAAGAGTGACCGGTCTATGTGGGACCCTCCAACCTTCAGTAATGAACCTGGACCCTCAGACACAAAGTAATGGCGCATTTCCACTACACGGCCTCGCTCGGCCTCGCTCGGTATGGCTAGGCCTCGTTTCCATTACAGTTTAGGAACTGGGGTAGTATCTATAGTAACGCAGTGTAGGCGGAGCCGTGACGTCATCTTCAATGAGAACCCCAGAAAAACAACACAGCCGTTAGCTGTTAGCACTCAGAGCTCACAGCTCCTCATATATGTTCAGAAACTAGACAAAAGTTAAACAAGTACAAACCACAGACTGCCTGTGTCATGGCGAATACAGTCGCTGCTTTATTTATGTCTGTATAGGCCGTTGTTGTGAGTGTGGACGGTCGGAGCATATACTGCGTTAGCTTAGCTAATCTCCATTTAGAAAACACGCATTTTAAAAGGTTTTTCGTCTGTCTGCAGACTTGTCAAAGCATTAATTCATGGTTGTTACTAACCGGTATCAGTATGTTGTTACTTCGGCATCATTTTGAAACGTGTATTACAATTAAATCACGGTCAAATATGTCCATCTTGTTGTAGTTGTAGCCCCCTTGCCAGCAATTCTCTCTCTAGTTTAGCATACTCAGCCTCGTTGTCTCTGGCCCTAGACCCACGATTTTATGAGGCCAGAAAAACTGTGAATTAGGACCCGCCGGCCGGTACTAGGCCAAGTGGAAACGCAACCAAAAACGGGCCGCTGACGTCACAGCCCTCTTAAACCGTGCTCCGCGCTGTAGTGGAAACGCGCCATAAGAGTCTGTTTCTACTGTAACCTGACCTGCAGAGGATTCAGTTCTTAGTGCATCAACAAAGTTGAACTCTTGCTCCTTGTCATCATCAGCAATAGTCAAGTCTCCTCTGATTTTGGTGCAGTTTCCCCACTTGAAAGGGACTTGAGGCATCTACTGACTTTGAACAGGATTCCACTCCAAAGACACAGCTTTACTTTCCAGTCTTTTATTTCAGCAGTTTACTTCAAACAGAAGTCCATTTACTTGCTGAATGGGTCATTTAGTGTAGGGGGAAAACCTTTGAAACAAGAAGGATGCATTTAGACAACTTGCAAGTTATTAAAATAAACAAAGCATGCAAACAATACACTGACACTGCTGCCTTAATGATATCATGTGAGCAGTTTGTAAAGGAAAAACGCAGCAGAGTACAGCAAGCTAACATTATTTGAGGATAATTCAATATGCAATTAAATATATTGTAGCGACCCTGTACAGGGTGCTGGGTGTGTCACTCAAGCGTCCCCCGTCTCTCTGCCAATCACAGAGCTGTACAGTAATGCTGGTCGGTGTTCTGGCCTGTGGTTGGGGGAGCAGAGGGGGTAGGGCTGGGAAGTTGTGACGATTGAGCCTGCTTGTGTGTGTGAGTTAGGGAGTGGAGTACGGAGTGATGATGAACCTGCAACTAGGCCTGTCGCGATAATCGATAAATTGACTTATCGTACGATAAATAAAAATGGACTCGATAACTTTTCTGAGCTCGATAAATTGCCGTTTACATAAGGATGTGACCAGCATTTTAGCCAGGAGCGCTGTGGCTGCCAGGCGCGCTGTGGCTGCCAGGCGCTCTGTGGCTGCCAGGCGCGCTGTGGCTGCCGGCCACGTGTGCTGTGAGGGGCGGGGCTGACACACAGCCAGGTCAGGACACTCCGTGTGCACGTGCAGCAGCGTAGCAGCCAAATTAATAATATAGCGACAACGTGTGACTTACTCGTGGGGAATTTTAAAGTGACATGGAATTGGTTACAAAACCTAACTACACATGTCAATTCTCCGGTGTGGCAGTATTTTGGATTCAAGCCAAATCAACGAGGTGAACCTACGGACTTGAATGAGCCGGGCGGTGTGTCGCATTTGTTTAAAAAAGGTAGCGACAAAAGCAGGCAATACCACGCATTTTAAACTACACCTAAAACACAACCCACCCCATTCCGTTTTCCCAGCTGTTAGCAAACACGGCAGCTGGAGATGGAGAGCCCCCACCATCCCGACAGTTTGCAATCAAAGATGCATTTGCCCGACAATGCAAACATGTTGGTGTTCCTTGCTCGAAAACTTTGAAAAACAGATTTGGATATGGCCTGTTGAGGCATCTGGGTCTTTGTATGGGCAGTGGACTGTACACTTGACTTGTTTTAAGGAGGTTTTTTTTGCTTGTGAGACAATGTGTGCTCATATTTATTTATTTATTTATTTATTTATATATATATCTATATATATATAGATATATATATATATAGATCTATATATATATATATAGATATATATATATATATATAGATATATAGATATAGATATATATATATATATATATATAGATATATATATATATAGATAGATATAGATAGATAGATAGATAGATAGATAGATAGATAGAGCTCTGTTTTCCAGCCTGAGTCTATTTCATTTATTGTGTTGGTTGTGTGTGTTTTAATTTATTTATTTGTTTTATTTATTATATATCATTTATATATTTTAACATTATTTCACATTTCATTTGCAATGTTGAATGTTGAATAAAAAGTTATGTTTGAAAGGATGTACTTGAATTATTATTATATATTATCATTATGTCAGTGGTCTAAAATGGTCTTACAACAGTGCCGACAATATTATCGTTTATCGCAATAATTTCCAGGAAAATGTATCGTCCAACAAAATTAATTATCGTGACAGGCCTACCTGCAACCTGTAACCTGAAACCGTATGCGATCAAAGGAGTTATTAAACCCAATAACTTGAAGCCTGTTTCCGACTCCTATTGTTGAACGTTACAATGTTATCATTGTATCTGTGGTATAAAATGGTTTTAAATATCATGTAATTAAATGTTGATAAATACTGATTTAAAAACTAAATATATCGTCAACAACATGATGTAACTACTTGGGCATAGTTATGACATTTCTTTTTTAAGATGTTTATTAATAATAGTAACAACTTGGTGAGCTGGTTGAGTTTGGCATTAGCAGATATAACAGAGTTTAAGAGATTACATGTAGAGTCAATGCAAAGACCCAGAACACGGAGGAAGTGAAGATGGGAAATTCATATCACCTGCGTATTCGTGCAGCGTGACACATTTCAACTTGAGTGTAAAGTTTGTGACGCTCTGTTACAAAAACCTGTCAGTGTTGAGATTGTGCTCCTGTGGTCTCTGACGGTCTGAGGGGAGTCAGAGAGGAGAACAGAGCTCTACAGCAGCTCATATTAAATCATGGTTATTAATGTTCCTGTTTAAACCAGAGACTGTCTGTGGTGCTAACAATATAGTCACTGCTGTACGTATGACTACATGAAGTTATTCTGAGTACTGATGGAGCAGCTACAATGTTAGCCTAGCTTTAATCAAACCAATCTCATTCAGAAAACAAACATTTTTAAATGTTTATGCTCGTTGTGTTGGAGACAGACTTGACAAAGCTTTTTACAAATCAGTATCATTCTGTTGTTATTTAGGCATCCTTTCCATATGTTTATTGATATGAATTCACAGCAGATTCTCTGTAAGTTGGGTTTATAAAGCACCAGGTTAATACAGCTGTGTGTCTTAGTAGATGTAGTGAACTTGTGCTCCTCTGGGTCATGAATCCAGACAGGATGCTCTTTGGTTTTATGATAATGTGAATTGTAAGCTATCTACCGGATCACAAAGGTATATTGTATAGACCTTTTTTTTAATATCAAACTAGAATGTGCCCCCTTGTTGTACCTTTGGTGATAATCAGCTCCCCTAAAGTGCTATAAAGGATGTGTTCATCTCCACAGAGGGAAGAGGAAGAGTGGTGTTCCTGAGGAGGAGCAGCTGTCCAGCTGTGCTCTGTGTCAGGACGTCCTGAAGGATCCAGTCTCTACCAGCTGTGGACACTGGTTCTGCAGACAGTGCATCACCTCATACTGGGAGCAGCAACATCCATCAGGAGACCCCTCCTGTCCCCAGTGTGGAGAAAGATCCAGAACCAGAGCTGGACTGCAGACAGCCAGTCAGACCAGCTCTGTACGAGGTAAGAGGCCGAACTCATGCAGCGTCTTATTCCTCTTCCTGGTTCATTTGGTCTTGATGAGGTATACTGTTGTAGAGCATAGACATTAAGCTGTTTGCAAAACATTTCAACTCAGTCTTTTTTTATTAGTTTTATTGTTAGATTCTCAAAAGCATTTTCTGATCCTCTCATGTTTCCTTCTCTTTCAGCAGATAGTGGTCTGCAGGAGGTTTTAGATGAACATAGGCTCAGTCTGAGGAGGAGATGTGAACGTGTGACTGAAGGAACTGATCAAAGTGAAACCCTCCTCAACAGGATCTTCACTGAGCTCTACATCACACAAGGCCAGAGTGAAGAGGTTAATACCCAACATGAGGTGAGGCAGCTGGAGACAGCTTCAAAGAAAGAGACCCTCCATGACACTCCAATCAAGTGCCAGGACATCTTTAAAGCCTTACCTGACCAACAGACTCTCATCAGAGCGGTCCTGACCAACGGAGTTGCTGGAGTTGGAAAAACCTTCTCAGTGCAGAAGTTCACTCTGGACTGGGCCGAGGGTTTGGAAAACCAAGATGTCAGTCTGGTGATCCCGCTCTCCTTCAGGGAGCTGAACCTGATCAAAGGTGAGCAGTACAGTCTTCTCAGGCTGCTCCATGTTTTCCATCCAACCTTACAGAAGGTCACAGCAGAGCAGCTGGCTGTCTGCAAAGTGCTGCTCATCTTTGACGGCCTGGATGAAAGCAGACTTTCTCTGGACTTCAGAAACAATGAGGTTGTGTCTGAGGTCTCACAGCAGTCCTCAGTCAACGTGCTGCTGACAAACCTCATCAGGGGGAAGCTGCTTCCCTCGGCTCTCGTCTGGATAACTTCCAGACCTGCAGCGGCCAATCAGATCCCTCCTGAGTGTGTGGACAGGGTAACAGAAGTACGAGGCTTCACTGACGCCCAGAAGGAGGAGTACTTCAGGAGGAGATCGAGTGATGAAAAGCTGTCCAGCAGAATCATCTCTCACATCAAGAGCTCCAGGAGCCTCCACATCATGTGTCTGATCCCAGTCTTCTGCTGGATCACTGCTGCAGTTCTGGACCACATGTTGACTACAGACCAGAGAGGAGAGCTGCCCCAGACCCTCACTGACATGTACTCACACTTCCTGCTGGTCCAGACCAAGAGGAAGAAGCAGAAGTATGAAGAGGGACATGAGACCAGTCCACAGCAGCTGACGGAGGCTGACAGGGAGGTTCTTCTGAAGCTGGGGAGGCTGGCGTTTGAACATCTGGAGAAAGGAGACATCATGTTCTACCAAGAAGACCTGGAGCGCTGTGGCCTTGATGTTACCGAGGCCTTGGTGCACTCAGGCGTTTGTACAGAGATCTTCAAAAGAGAGAGTGTGATCTTCCAGAAAACAGTCTACTGCTTTGTTCATCTGAGCATTCAGGAGTTTCTGGCTGCAGTCTACATGTTCCACTGTTACACCAACAGAGACACAAAGGTACTGAAGGACTTCCTGCAGGGAGACTGGCCCTATGAGAACAGTAACAACAGTTATCAGGATTACCCATCCCTGGATGTCTTCCTGGAGAAAGCCATGGAGAAATCCCTCAGTAGTAAAAATGGCCACCTGGACCTGTTTGTCCGCTTTCTCCACGGCCTCTCTCTGGATTCCAACCAGAGACTGTTAGGAGGCCTGCTGGGTCGCACAGACAAGCGTCCAAAAATCATCCAGAGAATCTTCAAAGGCCTGCTGGGTCGCAGAGACATCCAGAGAGCCATCAGCAACCTGAAGAAGATGAACAGTGATGAAATCTCTCCTGAAAGGAGCATCAACATCTTCCACTGTCTGACAGAGATGAAGGACCACTCAGTACATCAGAAGATCACAGAGTTCCTGAAGTCAGAGAACAGATCAAAGAAGGAACTCTCTGAGATCCACTGCTCTGCTCTGGCCTACATGCTGCAGATGTCAGAGGAGGTTCTGGATGAGTTGGACCTGAATCAGTACAAAACATCAAAGGAGGGACGACGGAGACTGATTCCAGCTGTGAGGAACTGCAGGAAGGCCAAGTAAGTCCAGATGTGATTAACTTTATAAACTAATGTGGATCAGATGTTTAATTATTCAAATACTGAGAGCAAAATAAAACCAACACTGTTCTTCTATTTATTTATAATAATAGTTAAATTGTTCCGTTTCTCTCTTCATATCGAGTGATGGAGGCGACATGTCAAACACATGAAGGACTTGAGAGGTTTCTCAGCATGTGATCACACCACACAGCAGGACTTACAGTTATCACAGAAACATGTTATTATTACTTTCTAGTAGTTTCTTTATCATTAAACACGTTTTTATCACAATGTGTTGGAGTTTAAAATCAGATCTATATAATTTCCCATCAATAACAGAGTTATGTCTTAATGCTGATATACTGAGAACATCTGATGGTATTCAGTTTAAAATATTGAAACTTTATTGGTTTGTTAGTTGTGTTTGTGTTCACAACACATGTTCAGATGCTCAGAGAAGCCTACACACTTTTCTCTGGGTATTGTCCACAGTAATGATGTTACATGTCTGATATGTGTAATGTGTATTTGTAAAGCACTTTGAGCACCTGGAAAAGCGCTATAATAAAATGTAATGAATTATTATATTATTAAACATTAATTATTCACATCCAAATATTAATTAACATTTAAATATGTACATCATCTATTGTGCAAAATCCTCTTCTGCATGTCTCTTCTACATCAACATGTGTCCCCTCTTCTTCATGTCTCTTCTACATCAACATGTGTCCCCTCTTCTTCATGTCTCTTCTACATCAACATGTGTCCCCTCTTCTTCACGTCTCTTCTACATCAACATGTGTCCCCTCTTCTTCACGTCTCTTCTACATCAACATGTGTCCCCTCTTCTTCACAGTCTCTTCTACATCAACATGTGTCCCCTCTTCTTCATGTCTCTTCTACATCAACATGTGTTCCCTCTTCTTCATGTCTCTTCTACATCAACATGTGTCCCCTCTTCTTCATGTCTCTTCTACATCAACATGTGTTCCCTCTTCTTCATGTCTCTTCTACATCAACATGTGTCCCCTCTTCTTCATGTCTCTTCTACATCAACATGTGTCCCCTCTTCTTCATGTCTCTTCTACATCAACATGTGTCCCCTCTTCTTCATAGCTCTTCTACATCAACATGTGTCCCCTCTTCTTCATGTCTCTTCTACATCAACATGTGTCCCCTCTTCTTCACGTCTCTTCTACATCAACATGTGTCCCCTCTTCTTCATGTCTCTTCTACATCAACATGTGTCCCCTCTTCTTCATGTCTCTTCTACATCAACATGTGTCCCCTCTTCTTCATGTCTCTTCTACATCAACATGTGTCCCCTCCTCTTCATGTCTCTTCTACATCAACATGTGTCCCCTCTTCTTCATAGCTCTTCTACATCAACATGTGTCCCCTCTTCTTCATGTCTCTTCTACATCAACATGTGTCCCCTCTTCTTCACGTCTCTTCTACATCAACATGTGTCCCCTCTTCTTCATGTCTCTTCTACATCAACATGTGTCCCCTCTTCTTCATGTCTCTTCTACATCAACATGTGTCCCCTCTTCTTCATGTCTCTTCTACATCAACATGTGTCCCCTCTTCTTCATAGCTCTTCTACATCAACATGTGTCCCCTCTTCTTCATGTCTCTTCTACATCAACATGTGTCCCCTCTGTGGAAAGAGACTCTGAAAGTTTCAGGAACAAAGGTTCTCTCTCTTTTTCTCCTGATCCATTTCTATAAAAACCTGTCTGAAAATGAGCTGATCAGATTTTGGCCACTTGTTTTGTGTAACCATTCACCATTAACCAATCACCAACCAAGGTAACCCCCCCCCCCCCACCTTATCACCTGCATCTCCTCCGAGAGCACCATTGTGTTCTTTTTAACCAAATCTCTCTCAGAGGGGCGTGGGGAGGGGCTCCTTATTTTCATCTAAAGTAACAATCAGAGAATCAGCACTTTGGAAACAGGGCTGAAACAGAGGGGATTATGGGATGCTGCAATGATCTGTTTGGTGTTTCAGCCAATCAGAGACAGGCTCTGGATATATCTGAGACCTGTGATATATTGATGAGAAACAGTCTAATAGGGGACCTTTTAATTTATGTTTCTTTTGGTAACAGTCAGTGACAGCAGGAGCACAGACATGTGGTCAGATCACACTGACAACACATTCAACTCTACTATAATATATTATGATATATAATATAAAATGGACTAACAGCAAATCTCAATCAGAACATATGTCAAATATGTTTTCATCAAATGCTTCAAGTTAATATAATGTTTCCTCTTGTTTTAACACATGTTGTAATATATGTGTTATTATAGACTCACTTACTGTGGACTCTCAGAGACTGAATGTGAAGTCGTGGCCTCAGCTCTGAAGTCTGACCCCTCTCATCTGAGAGATCTGGACCTGAGTCAGAACCCTCTGAAGGATTCAGGAGTGGAGCTGCTGAGTTCTGGACTAAAGAGTCCAAACTGCAGATTGGAGGCTCTCAGGTCAGTTCACTGACTGCAGTTCATTCAGATCTGTTTGTGTTTATGATTTTCTGAATTTGAACAAATACATTTTAATTGTTATTTCTTCCATCTTTGCTAATGACTGCATATTGATCAGATTAACAAAGAGAAGGTGAATGTGTGAGGGAGAGTGTTTGAGCTTCCACAGACTCACTCTGTGCTCCATGAGTCAGTGGAGATGCTGTCAGTACTGATGATCTGTGAGGGAGATGAAGGAGTTGTTAAACATCTGATCAAAGTTAAAGATCCAGATTATCAGTGGATTGTTTCTGCATCATCTCTGACATTGAAACCCTGTTTAACTCTGAACAGATTATTAAACCTGGAGTTATTTCAAACAGGAACATTGTTTTCTAAAGTTATATCATGTTTTCTTTATTCAGACTGGGGCTCTGCAGTTTGTCAGAGATCAGCTGTTCTGCTCTGGCCTCAGCTCTGAAGTCCAACATCCATCTGAGAGATCTGGACCTGAGTGAGAACGCTCTGCAGGATTCAGGAGTGGAGCTGCTGAGAGATCTTGTGGAGATTCCAGACTGCAGACTGGAGGCTCTCAGGTCAGTTCACTGACTCTCTGTTACTGCTGGAGATCTCACATGTATAATTTGTTATTCAACTTAATATTTTACATATATATAACATCCATACGTTTGTAAATGTTGTTTTGTTCACATTTGTATTTCTCTCAATGTAGTCTGCAGTCATAACAGTAGATTGTTTCCTAAAGAAACTATTATTCTTCCACTGTTAGTTGTTAAAGTAAATGTATGTTTTCTTTAGTAAATGGTCTGAATAAAGAAGGTCCTCTGAACTAATATTACGTCTGACAGTGGTGCTGGGCAGGACAGGACAGTGGTGCTGTTCTCACAGAATCAGCCCTTGCAAAAACAGAGCTAAAAAAGTGCAAATTGAGCAAAATGAGGCATGGCTAAAATGCATGATCAGTTTGGTATTTTGAAAAAAAAAAAGTATAAATATGCCTTATATAGGTATGGTCCTACACTATATTATTAAAATATAGCATGATAGGTCCACTTTAATGAACAAAGTGTAATCTGTACTTGGTCAGGGACAGGAAAGAGCACAGACAAATTATCATTTTAAAATCTGTATTTCTCAAAGAATTATAAACAAATGCAACAACAACAATATCTGAGTAGTACGCTACTGTTTGGAAATAACTTAGAATTTGACAAAATAGAATAAATACCAAAATATATCTTCTTTGAAAATAAAGATTTCTCTGCATACTTTCTGCACTACTATCCAGTAAATATAAGAACACATGCACATGTTCATTAAATAAGACATCTGGATGCCCAAACAAATGAGGATGTAACAGAGAAAAGAGCAAGTAACAAAATGGGGCATATTTAGTGTAACCTCTACAAATGGAACAACATATATGTTAAATAAAAGTGATACCCAAAGTATCTCCACATTACAGATGGAGCATTATTTTTGGCCACCAATGAACCTGAAAAGGATATTGCATTGTTTTTGTTACTTTCATTGCTATTGTTTACATTTCTTAAGTGTAATTTAACTCAACTTCCTGTTTTATTTAGACATGCTTTTATTTAGAAGGCGACTTTGCGCTATTAACAGGAAGCTACTGTTCCCAAAGAAAAAAACTTGACGGAGATGAACGGAGATAAAGTACAGACATTAACAGAGATATCTACATTTAAATACGGTGATATCAAAAGAAAAAGTTTACATGAAAGTATTAGCAAGAGGCACAAGGTTAGTGTTAACTAATATAAACATGTGTCCTGATTCGTTCATACTGTTTTATAACTTTACGGTTCACTTGTTTAATAGTATGCTAAAGTGATGCTCATATGGATGAAGCTTAACTGTAGTTGTTGTTTTGTGTATTTGTGTTGCTCTTACGTTGATTTTTGGAGTTTTTAATAAATGAGAAATCATCTGTCAAGTGTACGGCCATCTTTCGGAGGGATATGCTACACTTGGTGTTCCGGTTTCCTGTTGTTAGCATTCCAGCTTCACAGTAGCATGCAGCTAGCACGTTCTTGTGTGTGTAGTTAAATGGAAAATAAAGTGTGGAGTTCCATATTAAACACACCGCCTCCGACTCCCATTCATCGGCTCTACACCATGCACATTTTATATTTAATTAAATCGCAGCCTATTGCGGTTATGTAATCGCAAAAGCTGATATTGCGATTCGATCAATCGTGCAGCCCTAGTTCCCAATCATTTAGATGTGTTTTCACAGATAATAAACAGAAGGCTGATATAAAGATGATCCTCAATAACAGAATGACGGTCACTGTTATTCAGGGAAAGATCATTGATTAGGACGCAGTAATGATGAGCTGCACATTTCAGACCTGAACATCTGATTGGATTATAAACTGATTTTTATCCTCATCATGTTTTCTTCATTCAGACTGACGAACTGCAGGTTGTCAGAGATCAGCTGTTCTGCTCTGGCCTCAGCTCTGAAGTCCAACATCCATCTGAGAGAGCTGGACCTGAGTGACAACGCTCTGCAGGATTCAGGAGTGGAGCTGCTGAGGGATCTTCTGGAGAGTCCAGATTGCAGACTGGAGACTCTCAGGTCAGTTCACTCACTCTCTGTTACTGCTGGAGATCTCACACGTTTCATTAGTTATTTAGTGGGAATGCTGATACAGCATTCCAACTATATGTTATTCTACGGACAACATTTTTATTATTCCGCCGGAATTTTGCACCTCTTCTCCTCCTGCGTTCAACATCGCAGAAACTCCTGTTGTGGCGATCCAGTACTCACAACAGGAAAGAATGAAAAGAGAGGAATCAATGAAACACAAACACAGAAATAGTTGAGATTAATCATTATTATTTAGTTGCGCACCACCAAACAACAATGGGGAAACATTACCTGCTCTCAAGCAATCATACAGCAATGCTCCCACGAACACAAGACAACACAGGGCGATATAGGTTTCCTAAATGACACACGAACATGTTCCCTAATCATGTTTAACGCACACACATTGTCAGGTCTCCTAAACTTGGACATGTTCCAGATGTCGAAAGGTCATCATCTTATGACTTCTTTAGGGGTCTTGCAGGATATGAATTATCCAATTAACAAACTATATAAACGTCTGCACATGAGCGCACATACATTTCTTCCATAAACTAACACTTAACTGTATTATATCTAAATGTAGCCGTTTTGCATTTCCTTTGAGCTTGGCGTCAGCTCACTTAACGTAATAATTAGCAAAAAGACGATTCTATGGAAACTGTAATTCAATAACATACCTAGTTACTATGACTAGTGTTAAGGAATAATTCTTCTAGATATCTAACCTTTTGCTCTGTGACGTTTTATGATCTACTCTGACGTCTGTTATCTCCTTTAAGGAAAGGCATTGGTGCCATATGTGTTGTTGTTACCAGTTTGTGACCGGTCAACTTGTCTGGCACGAAGGGTAATTGTTGTGAGAACGCTGAGGCACTTCTTTATCGGTGTTTGTGGACTCTAAGGTGTGAAATCTTTGAGGCCATAAGTGTCGGACGCAAGTGATTCAGTGTTCCCAGCTGTTTAGTCTACTCCTTCAGAGATGTTGATTACTCTCTGTGAACCAGTTAAAAGGTCTAACATAGAGAGAGGCTCTTCAGAATTGACGTGTCAACTCTCCTGTGAAGTCAGACCCTCTGACTCGTGATTTGTGATGTGAATCCTCCAGCCGATACTCTGAATAAACCCATCAGTGTTTGACATCAAAAGCTCCAACTCTCACCGTGTCTCCTTCCTGAGTCGGTGACTCCCACTGCATTGCTACACAGAAGTTTCCCCCACAACTAGGTCCAAGATTGATATAACACTCCGTTCAAACATCAAAACGTTCAGCTCGGTCGGGAATCGATGGCTATCATTTTGATTATTCATAACTTTCATAATTCCAGAGATACATCCTATAATTCATCACATTTTTAACCATTGAAGTCAATGGAGAAAATCTTCAGACTTGAACAATCTTCATGTGACTTCAACTGCTAACTCTTCATTCATACTTTCACTCAGAAACCTCATTCCAACTTTAAAATGTTACACATCTTTCTGACATTATTCGTGTAACACAACTTTTAAATCTTACTTTTAGAGATATTAAACATTGTTCAGACCTTGGTAAAGAGGCTTTCTTCAGATTTTAACATTAACTAGAGTGCGTGATGTCACAGCTAGAGGGTAAGATATCTTGAAATTTGCCTTCATATTTTTTTTTTAAACTGCCTTAATTCCCAAACCCTCCATTCCTGAGACATAATTATTCATGACAAACGTAGGAAAACATCTCGTAGCTTGAAAAATGACAAATAATTAGGCAAAAATAATTAAACAAAATGCCTCTTGAGGGCATGAAGTGACAAAAACTTTCAACATGTCTCCATTAAAACCCATTGTAATTTCAGGCTGATATTTCCTCACAGCAGCAGCCGCACACCTTTAGTTAAACTGCCAAAAAGGCCACATTATTAACCCGAAAGTACACAAACATTACACTTCAGATACTCAACTTCCTTGACATGCTTCACGTTTTGAAATTTCACAGATATTTGTTATGGTTCTTCCACAAAACGTTCACATGTAAGAGGTTTATCTCTCATTCAGAACAATGCAAACCTTTGATCTCTACAGAGCTCATTAGCTCAACTATAAACACCTGTGTAATGGAACACGATGATGTCATCACTCCAACTGACAGCAGTCAGTTCTATTTCATACTTACTGACCGCCAGAGGCGGTGCTTTAGCACTGGATATCTTCTGTCTCGCGCATGCGTAGGTCGAATATTTATATCAACAAAGTCACGTGTGACCCCGTATGACACCGGAAGGTATAAGTTCCGGCGCTGTCAACGGGCTCAGTCCTTTTTCATCTTCTCGCTGCGTAGGTTACTACTTATGAGTAGAAGCCAAGCTAAGCTTACTGAAAATTGGGATTCTAGCTCATCGCTACCTGTAGCCTTGCGATCGTTTGATCGGAGCTGCGGGCTAGGAAAAACGCTCGCCCTCCAAAGGCTGCGACGAGCTGTCCGTCCTCCCAAGGGAGGGGACCGTGGTGTTCACCGCCCGGACCCCAGGAGCTCCGGACCGGTAAAGAGCGGACGCTCCTGCACACAGCCGGTGAGACCGCTACCAATTATTGCTGATTGTGCTATATCTATATACTCTCAAACTAATGAGATAATTGTGTACAAATTAACCGAGGGCTCTCGCTAATTTGTTACTGTTACCTGTACTATCATCCAGTTAGCCGAGTGCTCCCGCTGAAAGCTAACTTTCTACTGCGCTAGTGAAGAGAGCGTCTCCGCCCTCCTCCTCACTACATACTTTTGGTTCTTTACCTGTACTATCATCCAGTTAGCTGAGTGCTCCCGCTGAAAGCTAACTTTCTACTGCACTAGTGAAGGGAGCGTCTCCGCCCTCCTCCTCACTACATACTTTTGGTTCTTTACCTGTACTATCATCCAGTTAGCTGAGTGCTCCCGGTGAAAGCTAACTTTCTACTGCACTAGTGAAGGGAGCGTCTCCGCCCTCCTCCTCACTACATACTTTTGGTTCTTTACCTATACTATCATCCAGTTAGCTGAGTGCTCCCGCTGAAAGCTAACTTTCTACTGCACTAGTGAAGGGAGCGTCTCCGCCCTCCTCCTCACTACATACTTTTGGTTCTTTACCTATACTATCATCCAGTTAGCTGAGTGCTCCCGCTGAAAGCTAACTTTCTACTGCACTAGTGAAGGGAGCGTCTCCGCCCTCCTCCTCACTATACTTTTGGTTCTTTACCTGTACTATCATCCAGTTAGCTGAGGGCTCCCGCTGAAAGCTAACTTTCTACTGCACTAGTGAAGGGAGCGTCTCCGCCCCCCCTTTCACTGCATACATTGGTTCCTTGCCTGTTCTATCGTCCAGTTAGCTGAGTGTTTTCGTTCAAACTAACTGTTACGGCGTTAGTGAAGGGAGCGTCTCCGCCCCCCCCTCTCACTACATACAATTGTTTCTTTACCTGTTCTATCATCCAGTTAAGCTGAGTGTTTTCGTTCAAGTTAACTGTTACGGCGCGAGTGAAGGGAGCGTCTCCGCCCCCCTCTCACCGCATACATTGTTTCTTTACCTATTCTATCGTCCAGTTAAGCTGAGTGGTTTCATTCAAGCTAACTGTTACGGTGCTAGTGAAGGGAGCGTCTCCGCCCCCTCTCACAGCTCACAATTAGTTCCTGTTCTATCCTCCAGTTAGCCGAGTACTCTCGCTCAAAGCTAACTTGCTACAGTGCTAGTGAGGGAGTGTCTTCGCTCCCCTCTCACGGCGCACAATTGGTTATTTTATTTAATCGTTTATTTGACAGGGACAATGCACTGTAATGAACACTTAAAACATTTAAAGGTGTCAAACGTAACAGTGCCAGATTTAGCTTTGAGCTATTTTCCATTCTCTCACATAAAACATTAAGGAAATTACTTTTTACAAACAGGGTAAAAAAAATATATATATATATATATATATATATATATACATGATATGCAAAGAGTGGCAATGACACATAAAGTGTTCCATCCTCCAGTTAACTGAGTGCTCTCGCTCAAAGTTAACTTGCTACAGCGCTAGTGAAGAGAGTGAATCCGCTCCCCTCTCCCTGCACACAGTTGGATGCCCGTTCCAGCCTTCAGTTAGCAGAGTGCTCTCGCTTAGGCTAACTCGCTACGGCACTAGTGGAGAGAGTATTCCGCTCTCCTCTCACGGCATAAACCCATTAACTGACTTCATTTTTTCTCACTCCAGTTAGCAGAGTGCTCACGCTCAAGCTAACTACTATTGTGCTCACTCCCCTCCACGGCATATTTGTTTCCTGGCCAGTTATTTACAGGCAGCTGAGTGCTCTAGCTATCGCTAGGTCTAACGGCTCTAACACCTGTATGGCTCCTCTTTAACCAGAGGATGGCCATGACCTTTGCCCCTCTTGTCTTGGCCTCGAGCATCTGAGGGAGGGCCTTTCGGAGGACCCGTGCATGAATTGCACCATCATGCCTCGTGCGGTAAGAGCTGCCGAGGTTGAACTACTGACTGAGGGTGGCCTTCCCCCCCGCACAGTCGACTCCAGCCCAACCTACCCATCCTAGGCGTTGGGCCGCAGAGGCTGCGGGTGCACCGCCCAAGAAGAGGACTAAGCCTGATAGGCTGTCCTCCAGGGTGGACCTACTCACTACTGAGCTAGCCCAGATGAGGTCACTCCTCTTGGCTCTCCATTCCCGAAACAGCGCCTGCCAGTGCGTTCTTTAGGCGCACTCCGGCACCCGCCACCCGCACTGTTCCTCCCTCTTGTGAGTATCTGAGGGAGTTACATGCATGCTGGAGGGACACTAAGGCTCTTTACAGTCTTACGTCCGATGGCCGAGCCTTGGTAGCCATGCAGGATGCGGCAAGAGTTGGCCTTGACCACACGCCGGCTGTTGAGCCTACCATTGCTTCCCTCATAGTTTCCCCTGACGAAGCCCTGAGGTCGGAGGCCAGGTGCCCTCGACTCCAATGTCGGGTCACTGATGACCTGCTCACTAAGGTTT